AAAGCCTCTAGTTTATCTTTCTTCAACCACTTGAAACTGGACACTAACAGAGTGTAATAAGTAGATATACAAAGAAAAGATGAGGAGAAAACATGGAGGGGTCTGCTCTGTGGATGTTGCAGGAAAGCCTCTAGGTGGGTATATTGGGGGTTGTACAGGGCAAGGGAGGTCCAGAGCAAACAGTACAACCTCTTCTGAAAGTTCTGCTAGGTTGCTACCTAAAGGGCCCTCATGTAGCCTTTTCTTCACTATCAATATTTAGAAAACAACCCATTCCTTGACAGAAGATGAGCTTGCAGAGGGCTTCATGAGGCCTCTGTTCTGTGTAAATGATGGCATGCCAGAGTGATGCAGAGCATCTGCCCAAGTGCAACTGGGGCAGAACGTGGAGAACTGGTACCTGTACCGAAGGACCTCCTCCTTTCAGGTGGTTGAGTGCGTCAACATGGCAGTGGCTGAACTACTCCCTGGGTGTGAACAAGCTTGGCAGAAAGAACCGTCTGGCCAGACACCTGGAGCATGGAAAGAGAGGGTATGGTGTGTTCCTTTAGGAATTCACCCCCGATAGTTGTCATGACCTCCAACTACACAGACTTCATGCCTAATACTCAAGGAGAAGCAGATACCAGGGACCAAGCCCAGCTACTGGATTTGCAGGCCAGCAGAATTATCTCATGGGAGGCATATAATAATTTTCAGCAACATTAAAGGTCTAATCTTTGATGGCATATGTAAAGTCTGGAAATGTATCTGCAACCCTTTACTCGTTGGTAGAGGCTTTAAGCCTTTGACCACTTATATGTATCCAGAAAACTTAGTATGGTTTGCCACAGAAAAGTTTGACCATTGTTAGCAAATCAAAAAGGTGGTTGATTGTGGCTGCAAGTGAACTCTCAGCCAGTTCTTCTCCAACCTTCTCAACCAGGATGTGAATGACCTGCTATTGTGGCATCAAATCCATCCTGTGATTATTCCCATCAACATCATCATCTTCATCATCAGTGCTCTTCATTGCCAATTGCATTCAGCTCTTTTGGTCTGATATTTTGATGGATGACAACTTGAAACTATGCTTTTAGAAATCAAGTAAGTTCCACCTTGTCCTTACATTGTTCGACAGATGTATTTCTGAAGAGAAAACTTGTCCTCGATATTACTGAATTGGTTTGCTTAAATGTTCTGATAAATGAGGAGAAAGAATGCAATAAAGCTACAAATGGACATTCCAATGTCTCCTTTGCCAATATTGACCATCAGCTCTGAAGTGTGCATAGCTCTTTCCCCCGTGAGTATCTGGTGCAGTTCATAGGCAAGGCAGTAAGAAGAACCCTGACATGGAGAAAGTGGGAAGAACTTGTCCTGCACCACACACACCTCTCTCTAAGACAAATACCATCAGGGAGAACTCACTTCTACCACCAAGAGAGACACCCAAAACCAAACCAAAACTACAGGCAGATACACACCCTGTCAGATAGTTACTTCCTGTATTTCACACATTTAGTCATGACCTTGCAGGATGAAGATTACCCTCAGTATCTTGTCAGATGCTGGCTGATTCCCAAGCAGGCAACTTTGTTCACATTTTTCCTTTTAATGAAGCGACTTTTTGAGTTTTCAGAAATGGACTAAATGTCAAAAGTTACCCAAGATCTCCAGAAACTAGTGAATAATTAAATTCCTAAGTGACAGAAAGTAAAACCAAGAGGTGATGACAAGGCTTTTGAAAACCAAAGATTCCTGTCCCAGAGTGAGCAACAGATCAAGCCCTTAATGTATGCCTTCAGCACTTGACCAGCTTCTGCCCTTTGAAGGGTCCTGCAACTCAGGTCCAGCCTCCCTGCTATGGCCCAGGAACAATCCTGCTTGAATAGAGAATAGCTATGAGTCTCACAACCAGTGAACTTGGTCCCACAGCAGATCCTGAAACATCGCTGGAGCTCAGTTCCAGTCTCTGCTGGCTATGATCTAGGGATAGGTCTACCTGTCATGGGCCTCTCAAGTGACACATCCATCTGACAAATCTGTCAGGGGCCTCTCAGGTGACACATCCGTGTGAGTCCTCTGCAGGGTTGCCACACGCTGTACCATGCGGATCTCTGAATGGCCCTGAATCTCAGTCCCTGCCTTTCTCATATGCAGCTGGAGAGCAGTTCTATTTTCAGGGACCTGAACGGACACATACAGCAGTGCCATTGCAGCCACCAACAGTGGCTGGTATCACCATACGTCTTGAAATTGCCCTATGCATTGCCTGCAGCCCTTCTGAACTGAAGTGCTCTGTGAGCAGGCCTGTCTAACCAGGACCCCACTGTCAATACGCCAGTCCCTGACTCCTGAGGTGAGCCTTCCGCTCAGTGCCAGCCCCATGTGCCCTGCTCCTTGAGAGAATATAGCCTATTCGGGGGCATGCTCATTAGAGCTGCAGGCAACAGAACCACAAAATTCAGTCTCCACTGTGGACCAGCATCAGCCACGACCCAGATCCAACCCACTCAGTCCTGACTCCAGTGACAATCCCAGCAGCCGAGACACCTCACGTGAGAAAAAATTTTCAATCCATACAGGTTAAATTGGCAGCTTATACTTTCAACTGCATAGACACAAATGCAAAGCCTGCACAGGACAGCAAAGGAACAGACCAACATTTTACCACTGAAGGAAGAAGTTTCAATAACAAACCATAAAGAAATAGAAATATATAAAAGTTCCTGCAGATAATTTCAAACTAATCAACTTTAAAAAGCTCAGTGAGATGTAACAAAATACAAATAGACAATTAAATAAAATTTAGAAAGCAATGCACAAACAAAATTAGAACTTTAATGAAGAAATAAAAACTGTTAGAAGGAACCAGACCAAAATTCTGAAAGTGGAAGAATATAATGCAGAAGAGAAAAATTCAGTACAGGAATTTAATAGCATTCTTGGTCATTCAGAGGAATTAACAAACTATAGGAAAGGCCAATTAAAATTATCCTGTTAGAAGAGCAAAAAGAAAAAAAGACCAAAAAGAGGTGAAGAAAGCAGAAAGGACCTACTGAACATGATCAAAGATATTAACGTGTGGATAAGGACACTGTCAGTAGGAAAAGAGGAAGTGGAAGAAAGCTTATTTAATGAAATATTATCTGGAAATTCCCTAAATTTAGGATGAATATGGACATTCAGAGGACTGCAAGATAAATTCAAAAAAGAATGCACTGAGACACATCTTAGTGAAACTGACAAAGGCCAAATACAAAGACTCTTGAAAGCAACAAGAGAGAAGAAACTCATTACTCAGGAAGGAACCTCAGGAAAGCCATCCATGGACTCTCAACAGGAGCCCTGTAAACCAAGAAGGAAGAAGATAATAATTAAATTGCTTTAAGAATATCAACCAAGAATATTATACTTAGGAAACTGCTCTTCGGGAATGGAGAACAGTTGCTTTAAATGCACATATCTAAATTTTCTAATCAAAAGATATAGAGTATATGGTAGGTTTTTTAAATTGTTTATTGGTACATTTTAGATATACATAATGATCACATTCGTCATAGGCAGTTTGTACCTGTACATGATATATCTTGATCTTCTTTTCTTATATTCCCCTCCCTTCCCTTCAACCCCTTTTCCCCTCCTTATTTACAAAAGCTGTGTTTCCATTTTTCTTTTTCTTTCTCTCTCTTTTTTTTTTTTTTTTTGGTTTTTGGTTTTTTTTTCTGGTACCAGGAATCAAACTCATGACCTTGCACTTGTCAGGCAGGTGCTATGCCACTGAGCTAAATCCCCAGCCCCTATTGTTTCCACTTTTCTTTCTTTTTTCTTTTCCCTTCCTTCCTCCCTTCTCATTTCCTCTTCTCATTTGAACATTTTTTTCCTATTTGACAATGTCTATTATACATTTTTGTCCTTATTTACACTTTTGGTTTCTCACACCAGAGACACAATGTGATATTTACGTATGTGTGTCTGATTTATTTCACTTAAGAGTATGGTGTCAGGGTCCATCCATTTACCTAGAAATTTCACAAGTTTATCCTTCCTTATGACTATTATTCCACTGTATAAAAAAACCCCACATATTCTTTACCTATTCATATGATGATGGGCATTTGGGCTTTTTCCAACATTTAACTATTACAAACTGTTCTGCTGTAGACATGGGTGTGCATATATATATTTAAAAAATGCAACATGATGCAGTTTACCATAGACTCACCTTAGTCTTAAGAGCACAC